TTACGAGGTTTCAAACTTGTAAGGAACCGTCGGTAGGAACCTCCCAGGAACGTTCCAGGGTGCATGAGATCCAAGAAATGAAAGATCCTTGGTAAAAAATGGCGGAACCGTTATTTATTTCCGTTGGAGACTAGGGAGATAGTACGTAAAACAAATTATTGAGGGGTATCGTGTCAATAAAAAATGTTTACAGAATTATTCACGGATATTTATTAAACTCCCCCTATTTTATATTATTTTCAACTATGTAAAACAATTGTCGTTTAAATACAGAAAAATCTACGGTTTTACTTTTCGAAATTTATTATGAGAAATTATCGCAACCTTTTAAGTACTATCATGAATAATTGTTTTTATTTCCGCCAAAAACTAAAGAAAATTCGTGTAAATGGCTAAACGTTTACAACAATACGTCCAACTAATCAAACAATAAATATTACCTACTGACAAACGAGTCGTAATATGATTTCAGGCTTTCAATAACACATAAAAGTCATATTCATGGATCTATAATATTTAGTTAGTAAACGCTAATTCTAATATTCATGACTTTTGAGTACAATTTGTCTAATCTAGTGATTTGTATATGTAGACACTCGCAACACTATATAGGTAATTCATATTATTCCTGCAGTAAGCAGTCTCCAACTAACGTTTAAACTACCCAACGGTTCCATACACCAGGACCTACTGATTTCTAATTCAAATTAATTCATCCATATTGAATAACAGGTTTGGATAACAGGAAATAGTCCAATACACGGGGCTATAACATATACTCTGTAGAAGCTCATCATAATATTCGTGATTTTTGTGTATAACTGGTCCGACAGAGCGGGTAGTTTGTTTATGTAAACTCTCACAGTCACACAGCACTACATAAGTGATACATGTGATTGCTACATGTAGGCCGTCTGTCTGGTGTCTGCTACATCGTCTCCAGTTCGATATCCTCCCTTACAACTGTTTATGCCCTGTAAACCCTGACCCAGACGGCAGCCTTCCCTCTCTCTCTCACTCCCGCGGTTTACTACACCCGTATAGTTTTTACGGCGGTTGTACGATCCATTAAATCTCGCGGTCACGTGACTTTCATTCACACATTTCTGTGACGTCAGTTTTATTGTTAGACGTGACACACTTGCTGCTACACTTTGTCTTGGAATCCGATGTCTTTTTTGTCAAACTAAATTTAGGTTTATGGACTTGTTAAATGTGATTGATAATTTTGATTTAAATGACAACCTTTGTTTTAGATCTGAATTCTGTATGTTTATTTCCTATTTGCCTATATTAGATTCGGGCCAAAAAAGTTGTATGAGAGCGTGAGATTTTGATAGCTCTATCGTTGGGCATCTTAGCTAGAAGTTGAGTAAAAAATGCGAAAATCGCTTTTTAGAGTTAGTCGAGTTGTCTAACTCGATTGACTTCTTAACATACTCGTTGTAAAATAATAATACAGATATGTCTCTTTATTTGAAAAAAATATCTTTGCAAATACAGAATTTGAACAAATAAGCAGGTAAATTATTTAATCTAACAAATCATCTGTATCATAGTGAGCAATAACTATACAATATAAACAACGATATTTATAAAAGTCGGAATACAATAATCGGGTACAATAAATATGCTAAATAATATTAAGCTACAGTATAAAAAACAAATTGGTCACAAATATGAAATATGTTGATTCGCGTACAGTATTGAGGCTTAGCAAAATATAAGAAATAACTTTAAATAATTACAAAAAGATGGCCGCAAGACGTGCGCGGGCTGCGACGCTAGTAAACCTTCCAGTTTATTAGACAATCACAGTATATTTCCAACAGACCGACTTATAAATTATTAAAATTAAAGCAGAAAGGCAGGTGAATTCATAAAAGAGATATTATCTAAGCGGCCAGGCGCGCTGCCTCTTCTCTGGATACAGGGGTGCGCATTTACATGAGACAATTCGTATCCAAGTGGGCGCCGATAAGTTCAATTTGGGGCCGCCGCGATCCGGGAGCGAATGTCGGAATCAAAGTCGTTTGCATATTGCATTACCTTTCAGGGGATGAACTTCCAATATAAAGGAAGGAATGAGACTTGGCAATCTCTAGACCACGATTCCTGAATGGCGGAAAGATAATCACAACCTGGATTGGGAATTGGGTAAAATCTACTTGGATGACTTGGATGCTTCATTCAATTTATGGGTGTGCAAAGTTTCAAAAAAGGTTTTGTTATTTATGAGCTAACTTTAATATATAGCAGCTTCAATGTACGATGAAATAATGCTTGAACGTAGTTAACAAAATTCGTCTTTTATAATATTGTGCCTTTTTTTCAGACTATCCCATTTTCCTAACAGTAATGCATAAACTTATTACAAATGGTTATAGTGGATGAATGTTCGGAAACCAATTGTGTCTAGAGTTTATCAAATTGTCTGGGTTATGTCTTGTGACCAGATACTTGACAGTCATATATCAACTGGACTGAATATAGATAAGTTAAATAGCTTGCAACTTTATTGAATATTGTATTAATCACAAAACAGAGTAAAATGTAGTGATAGAATCCTTGTTCTTCGTCCTTTTTAAATGAGTATTGCCGTTTAGGGTATAGTAATTTCCGATCTGTTTTGCCGCGTCAGGGAATTTGGAAAAAGAAACCAACATTCATCCAGCATTTGTTCTAGTGTCCATTGACATTGACAGGGGGCGCAGCCGGGCAGTGGGCGCAGCGCTATTGGAGGGAGATTCATTGTTGTTTTGGCGGTAACCGAGGTTGATTTCTATGCAGGACTCGGCCATGTTGACCTTGCCCCACGCTCAGGTCTACCTGGTGGTGCCAACTGTAACTAGAACAAATCTCACCACTTTCTGTTTCACATTAGAATTATTTTTCACTCTTTACTCTTACTTACTTTCTTACTTTCACTCTTAAGTATGCGAGTATCAATACGTTTTACGGCGAGTTAGAAACAAATTACAAGTTACAAGTAAACAAATAACACTTATATTCCAAGTTTACAATAACAAGGTGTTATGTCTATTAATTGTTGAATTGAGTAATGCGTTGTATTCTTCAATCCTGAAAAATTTTCATCAATAGTTGTTAAGCAAACATTACAAACACCTAAATTTTGAACAAACTGCAAAATTATGCAATATAACTATTGTCTTTAGTTTTGACAGTCCATAAACTATCACGCATGTAGAAAGTTGAATAATGTCACTGTAACTTGTGAAACAAGAACCTATCAATGCACGATGTATAATTCACCCCAAAAACTATTCCCACAGTTTTGGTTATAAAACGAGAGAGAGTTTAGTCAAAGTTATGCGGTATTCTGTATACAATGTAGTGTATACACAAAGCACATGTAGATGTTATGATCGTACATGCAATGTGGGTGAGCGAAGCTATAAACTCCGTGTGCTGACTTGTCGAAAAAACCGCCAACAGTGATTTTGTAAAATACCGCGACGTGGCATTATGTAAACGGGGCTGATCTATCAAATGATAGCGGGGAAGGGCGGTGGTACGCGGTACGCGGTACACGGAACGGCGCAGCGTATCCGTCCATCAAGACTATCTAAAATATTTAAATTATCTAAATTGAAAACTACGCGTTTTTATTTTAATGCAATGTGTTAAATGTTTGTAATCGTTTTATAGCTTTTATACACCGTTTGGAATATGAATACTTTTTATGCCCTATGAAAAACATGAAAAAATACAATTATCTGTTTAACCAACTCTTTAAAACTAAAAAGTATACGCAATTCACATTATATATAACTTATTGAATTTATATTGAAAACGACGTGTTTTTTTCAATGTGTTTTGTTTAATGTGACTGCAATCGCTTTACAGCCTGTATACAACAGTTGGAAATTGGATAGTTTCATCATTAGTTTACCTGTATGCATAACATAAAAAAATGAAGCGATCTGTAAACATTACCACTCAAAACTGAAGTAAAAGTACTTTACGTCCTTGTTTAGGGAACGCAATAATTTTATTTACCTGGATATTATTAGACAGATTACTAAAAATAATTAATATCATATAAGAAATGATGTGGTAAATCTAAGGCTCCTTAAATTCTGCTTTTATGTTTTCTGTTTTGTTCTATTTAATTAAAAACATAACTTATAGACGGATTACTAGAAACAATTAATATTATATAAAAAAATAATGTGGTAAATCTAAGACCCCTTAAATACTGCTTTTATATTTTCTGTTTTTGTTCTATTTAATGAAAAACATAATTTATAGACAGATTACAAAAAATTAATATTATTATCATATAAAAAATAATGTGGCAATTCTAAGGCCCCTTAAATACTTATTTTTATGTTTCTTTTTTTCTATTTCATGAAAGACGTACTTTACAAAATACATTACGCTAACACCAGTTATCACTGCTTATATTCAAATTTATATTTTTAGTTTTCAGTTTTAAACATACATCTAAATTTAAATATTACAGTTTAATTATTATTTAGACATTTTGCACGACTAATGAACACAAAAAATATCATTATATTTAATTTTCATTATTGTTTGTTTAATTAACTTTAATTATGTATTGTTGTCAAACATATGATAAACTTTTGTATTAATAGTTTGTTTTTGTTAATGTCAATGTTGTAGGACATTGTAGAATTTTCTTGTTAAGGAGTTGAGAGTCCACAACACATTTCCTAATTTGTCATATTCTGTTTTAACAATTTTTTATTTTGTCCAAAGTTACGTTTCGAGGTATTTTTTTTGCAGCAGTTGTTCCAGAATTGTGTGATAAATGTTTATTTTCACAAACTATATATGTAATTATGTTGTGGCGATTGAAAAATTTTGATCAACGTTTGGTTTTATTTTTCTTGTTGAAGCAGTTAAGCCAAGAGGAGTATGACCTAGTTTTGATCGTGTATCAAGCTATGATGTATGTATTGTTAACTGTTGTTGCTAATGTTGTTGTTACAAGTGATATTTTCCTGTTGCAGGGTTGTGCGGGAGTGCGGCAGTGTGTGATCGTGCGGGAGTGAAGTTATGTGACATGAGTCCGTTTGGGAATTTGCCGAACAAGGTAAGGCCGATATCTATATCTTCCTTAACATTTTCCATGTGACTTCTGGAGAAAGTCTGCTTGGGTCGAGAACTTCATGCGTGGTAAAACTGTCTTATAAATCGAGACGAAATACCTAACAGTTTTCTAAATGTCACAGTCTTTATGGCATTTTAGAGGTGGATTTATGTGTCTGGAGGTTTGTTTATTGAGCTACAGTTTGTGCTATAAGAGAAGGGAATGAAATGCAAATACTTAAAAAAAGTGTTTTAAACAGAATTATCACCAAGTTCAAGTTGGTTGTAAATGCAGCCTATCTTTAAGGGGTTAAATATGTTTCCGGTTATTTTAGGCACTATTCAAGTTAAATTTGGATATGTAAATATAGCATAAGGCAAATTACCATTCGGAAACCAAACATTTTTTAGTGAATGTTAGTTATGAAATATGACCATATTAAATATGTTCAATATAACTGCTTTAACCCCAAGTAAATTTATAACTCACAATCACAATGTTCAAAGCATCATCAGTTAGTACGCTGTCGAGTACACTGTATAAAGATAAAATCGCCATCCATGCGAAAGTTTAATTATTAAATCCAATTATTTTTACCACAAACGAGGACATTACAGGCGATGTTGGTGGCCGAGCGTGCTTGGCGGCAATCATTCTGCGGTCTTTGAAATGGAGATAAAATGTTAATATATCAGCAGTTGGACACCACCGACCACCGAATACGACCAGCCAGTTAAATGATAACGCATACGTTTCATTATCATAATTTTTCATTCTGTTGTTTGTTTGGTTTGGAAAAGTTGTATTTTTAGTTTTTATTGTTTATGGAGTATATGCAACTTATGTTTTAAATTGTTTTATGATTTTTTAAATTCCATTTTTAAGTAATGTCAATTTTAATTTATTTTACGATCATGTTTTCTTTTATTTCATATTTAAACCTTTTAAGTTTTAATTCTTTTAATTTGTAGCTATTGAAATTGAATGTTCGAAAGGTTCAAAAGCTATCAAATTCTTTAAAACCTCTCAATAGACATGTAAATAGTTTTCTTTCAAATACTTATTTGTTTTCAAGTTTTTCCAAACAAGATACATTATAAATAGTAACGATGAATGTGAATGCAGAAATTTAAAAATGGCCTGCATTTGTGATCAGTATATGGTTTGGAAATATTGCTTTCATTATCAAATTAAAAAAAAAATATTTGGAATGCGTGACCAGCTAATAGCCATTATTCATATTTAATCAAACAAAAGTATGGATTGATAAAACGATGACGTTAATATACTTTGTGAAAACCATTGACATTGCACATGATTTATATATTTCAAACAAACAAATACAGGTAAATGTCACACATGAAAGAAAATACATAAATTTGATAGGGATTGTAATGAGAACGTTCATACGACGTTTAGATGTAAAAGACTACGATGTAGTTGTGATTGTGGTAACTATAATAGTGAACACAGCTAAAATGCTCTTGTTATGTTATTATAAGTTTATAACTTCAACATTAATATTTACGTACCTTTTTATGCCCTAAACCTACGGTAATCTCTCTTTTTTGGAAGGACCCACTTTGTGATTTCTCTTGAATAAGTGGGGGAGTTATTTCAAGACGGGTTTCGAAATTGTGTTGGTACAATGGTGTAAAATTATGCCAGAAGTAATCGTATTATACTAAAACGAAGAAAGCACGTATACAGAAAATGTTTAACAGTTTGCAATCTTAAAACTAATAATAGTTCTAATAGTTGAATTTAAGGTTTTATTGAAATTGACTTTGAGCCCATGTTTACCAAATTACTCTCTATATAAATGGATGAATAAATACATATATTTACCATGGATAAAGGAATGCATGTGTGATACTATATTAATTTTATATTACAGTATTCCTATTCGATTTAGTTGTCGTCAATAAAAAATTCAAAGAACGCAAACGTAACCATTATTGACTCATACGTAGATCTTTATAATTCTCGCTAGATAAATATTCTTATAAACAGGACTTTATAAGTATGGCAACATTAGGTAAATTTTCCACAAAGAAAAGTCACCAGTGTAGTTTTCCATAGATTCTCATATCCCGATCAATCGTTTAATTCTACTGCCCTGCACACCTGTTCTACCTCAATCTTTAGGCAGTTTATAAAGAATAGAAGTTTTCGGTAAGGCCCGCTAGACTGCAGCACTGGAGGGGTGGAGCTCTTACACCCCTACCTACCCCTAACTACCAACCCCACCAGGACTACCCCAGCATGGCCGCCCGTACATCATCCCCTGTCCCTGTCACCGGTCGCCTAGCAACCTCTCGCGGCCATCTTGGTTTGGACCCCGAACCCCACGTTTAGATCGATAGGCTAAACACAATCTTCACTTTCTCAATCTATACATTGTGTCTGGCCCGTCTGTATTCATATCCAACCCAATGCCCGAGGCAACTTTTTCATTCTTTGTGGTTGAAAAATTTAAATTCGTACATTTTTAAGCAACTCCCTCAATACTTTGCAAGTATGTTTAGGGTTCTTAGAATTTGTTGAATAATGTTACTGATTGTCAAAATACGCAGCTACTGTGTCAACTTTTAGATCTTGTTACATTAATAAGACCGAGTCGTGGCATTATGACTAATTAAATTCTATTTGCTTAAAAGTTACTGTAAGTCCTCTTTATATAATATGTTTAGCCATTAAGAATTCATATGTAAAATTTGAAAAGCTGACCTGTTTTATTACTACTAGCTTTAATATGGACAAATGTAAAACGAAATTGCAATTTGATTGATTATGAATCGCTTAGGGTGTCTTCAAGGCAAACAATTATAAGAAATATCACATTTGACACTATACAATTAATTTTAAACAAACCCATCTTGTAGTTTCTGGAATACAGATAATTTTTTACATCAATTCTTTTACATTGATTGTTTGCCTAGTTTTTATACACAGTGATGTACCAGAAAATATATCAGATTGCTAACTTATATAGCTTCGAGAAAAAGTTAACAGGCCTGCTTGTTTGGGTCAAGGTATTGTTATTTTAAAATAAATTTCTTACACTTCGTTTTTGCAGACATTTCCCCGCAAATATGCAGAGGCGTGTATACTTCTGTTTAATATCTTTTATCCATAAAAATAAAAATTTGTCCATCTATTAGTGTATTAGATCTCGTATTATGCAATTTATAATAAGTAAAATTATCTTGCTAAATGTTAAAGAGACTGGAAGAATGAATATAAAATCTGTAATGTTCATAACACGTAAGTAGATATAATATAGCAATATGACCCCACTTTCGGCGTTTTAGAGGCACTTTTAGGGCACTTTTTATAGGGGAAAAATGAGGAAAAAATGGAAGAGCTTTTTTTGGCCACTTTTTTTAAAGACCCAGCTCTCGACCTATACACCTCTATATAAATTTTCTACTTTTTTAATACTGAAAAACACGTCTGGAATATGGCTCATTTTTTTGGCCACCCGGCTCTCGGCACGCGAACTCGGGCGTGCTCCTGGCTTATGACGTGCTCCCTTGGACATCCTTAGTGGAAATCCATGGGTTCTGGCTACTTGGGAACCCAAGCCATTTGACATACAATGAATTACCCTTTCTCCTAATTACCTTCTCTACCAAATACATGTCCTTATACTTGGTCTTTAACAACTCCTCTGTATAGAAGCCTCCCCTGATTATATTGCCATTTTCATCTTTCAAGATATAAGTTACAGGCTTTGTATTCTTAACTTCTGCTATTGTAAATAGTTCCCCTGTCCAATTTGGAGTATAACCTTTACTAAAAACATGTTTATACTTGGAAATCCTTACGCTATCACCTACCTTATATCTTGGCTTTTTAACTTGCACTACTTTAGAAGTCAACTTCTCATGCACATATTTACTATTCTTAACATTCACTTGGTTAGGCTTCATTCCTATAGATCTATGCACCTTATTATTATATTTTCGAATTAACTTTGGAAGTAAATCCAACCATTTATAACTCCCCTGAGCACTAAATTCCCTATATAGCCAATTCTTTAAAGTTCTCTGGAACCTCTCTACAATTGCAGCCTTAGTTGTAGAAAATGTGTGATAGTGATTAATATTTAATTTCTTCATTAGTTTGCTAAAATATTGATTAAAAAATTCTTTTCCATTGTCAGATTGAATGTTTTTAACCCCCTTTGGTAGAATGGTTTTAATGGCTTCTGTAACCACTAACCCTGTCTTATTCTTTAGTGGAGCAGCATAAGCTTTTTTAGAAAATGTATCTATTAAAGTTAAAATATATTTATTGCCAGAATTTTCTCTAGCATAGTTTTGCATATCAATTAAATCTATTTGTAAGGTTTCGTTTATACCCAATACTTTAAAAGACCTTCTAATGAAATTCTTTCTTGCAGGCTTATGAAGTTCGTATGCAATTTCATTCATTTTTTATAACATCATCCTTTCCTGTAACTCTAAATACATCACCATTAGCCCCAATCAATAGATTATCTTCCATTCTTTTAAATACATAGTTTTCTGGTATATATGGTCTATTATCTATATACTTAAATCCACTCAAAGATGTGGGGTCAGCAACTAATAAATCAGGATTATATTCCATCAAATTAAAAATTTTTTCTCCATATACAAATTTTGATCCATCGTAATGCATAGATTGTGACATTAGACAAATATCATCCGAATGTTCCCCCTCTGGTAGATTTCTTATAAATTGTTTTTTGGCATCCCAACATTTTTCTTTTTTATCAAAAGTTATAGTCTGTTCTTTTATAACACAGTCAGTGTCATCAATGGCAGGTTTGACACGTACTAACCTTTTACTATTAAAACTCCAATAGCCTGCTTCCATTTTTGGAACTTGTGAAACATTCACAGCATCTTTACTATCTGTACCTTCCATCAAATTACTAATTTTCTGTTTCTTTGCATTCCAAACACCATTCTCTGATTCTAAAAATTCATAATTATTATCGTCTTGTACAAATT